GCAATGAGTTTCAGAATAAATATCCAGAATTATAGTGGTGTAGAAGGGCTTCAACTTGAAAGAGTTCATTACCAGTTTCATGCTGTCAGGGCATAACATCCTGCTTATTGGATGCTGTTATGTACAGATTGTCTTTTTTCTTTTACATTTAGCCTTAACAAAGAACTTTCTCTGCATCATTTTCATTCTGAAACATTAGATTAACCAGGCATTATTTTGTCCTAATTTTTAACATGGTTCAGGACAATGAATGGGTGAGTTTACTATTTAGCCGTTGTCCTGGAGGGCTACCAATCTATATGCCACAGTAGATAGGACAGAGCGAAAGGAATAAAAATAAATTAAAAAAAAACTGTCAATCACTTGTACCCATCAAGCTATGGTATTTTCCAAATATAAAGGAAGAAGAGCTAGCAACAACAGCTTTTGAAAGTATGGGAGAGGAAGATGTTGGAAACCCCAAATCTCTTTTCCAATTTTGATTTTGAGAGTTTGAAAAACTCACTTCTCATGACTGGCTATGACCAAACCATGTGTTCATTTAAAGTATAGTGGAGGTAATCTTGCATACTTGGTCATGATGACAGCATTTTCAAAAATAAATTTACACAAATTATTATTCAAGGATCAGAATTTTGCCCAGTAACTTTCATACAGGCATTTCCAATAAAGATTTCTGCTACTATTGATGTAAATGTCATTGAAAATGTCATTATGTCTGACGTACTATTATAGAGTCCACAGTTACAATGCCGCCATTCATAGAAGGCAGGAGACAGCCCTGCATATGCAACGATTATGCACTCAGCCTAATTATTAATGTGAACAAGAAAGTGTGGAAAAGAATTCTCAGAGACTTCTGTACTGGCCCGATTGGTGAGGGATAGATGGCTGAAGCAGTGGTAGGTAATGTCATGCCTTCCAGATGTTCTGAACGTCAACTCCCATCAGCCCAGCCAGAATGGCCATTGTCAAGGGATGATAAGAGTTCTAATTTAACCCATCTGGAAGGCATTGGGCATTAGGTTGTCTGCATGGTTTAAGCAGGTGTATGAATCATTATCTCCCAAGGAAAATCTTAGCATAATTGGAATCCTCCTCCTCATTCCTCCAGGTCTTGCAGCTGCTTCTCCTTGTTGCCACAATTTTATGACTTGCCTCTTTGAATTTTACCTCAAATCTGTGTTTGATCAGAAATCTAGAAGTATTGCAAATACCTCCTTTCTACCTGGAAAATGTCACAGAAGGCTGGGTGTGTAACAATTACATGAACACCAGTGTTGAGTTATTGTGTTGTAAATAGTATTTCCAGTGATTTGGCTGACTTTGATCTGCATACAATTCTCTGGATTATTTGTTATGCATCCCTGAAATATGACTGTATAACCTTTTTAATTAAAGGTTAATAAAATATATTTAAAAGTATCCTCTCAGGATTCTTTGGAGAAATATTTGTTTCTGAGAAAGCCAGCAGCAGAAGGAACCACTAAAAACTACTCTTGTGACAAAGTTTTATTGTTTTTTTCTCCCTGTTGGGCTCGTGACCCAACATTTGTAGTGTCGTGATGTAATTCTTTCCTTGTTCTTTATGTCTTTAAGCAGCTTGTGGCATTTTAGACTAGCAGGAAATCAATTTCTACTTGATGGATCGACTCATTTAAGGAGGTGAGAGAAATTAAAAGCTGACGGCCTGTAATTCAGCTGATCTTGGGCAAAATTACTAGTGAATGCTACTAGCAGTAGCACACTCCTTCCAGGGGCAAAGCCTTAGTGATCTTTTAACCAACCCAATTGTGCAACATGACAAAATGTCAGAGCAGTTTGTACTCTGTGTTTTGCCTGAAAATGAAGCAGGTTTGTTTGTTAATAATAATGGTGAGTTCATGTTGTAGCATGAATTTCAGGCCAATGCTCCTTCCACAGCTGTTGAGTAAGCCTTAAAAAACTGGATGGTGTTAAAATTTTCCACCTGAACAAAAGTTTGTGTAAAGGTCTTTTAGGGGACAGATGAGCCCTAGACATATTGACAAATACCAAATAATTCAATCTGATTTCATAGAACTAGCTTTTGGCCTAGGTCATTGAAACTACTTCATGCAGAAGAGGGATTTTCAAGTACATGCAAATCACAAGTGGATTTCATTGACTCCTCTCCCCCCGCAAGGGCTGATCATTGCTGGTGCACGTGACGGGGCAAGGACCTTCAACAATACACTGACTATGGCACAAAGTCCCTGCTACAGCTGTCTAACTGAACAGGCAGTACTGTCACTTCATTCATGGTTCACTATGACAGTGCTAAAGCTGTGCCAACCAATTGCAAAGAACAATAAGTACACAAGCCCTTTATCTCTCCCTCCCTCCCTCCCTCCTCTCACTTGCACTGGGCAATCGACAGAACATCGTTACACCAGTGTTTCAGGATGAGTATCGTAGTAGCTGTAGAGAAGAAACAAAAATGGAAAGGAATAGATGGATCTGCGTGTAATTGTAACAGCTACACTTAGAATAGAAGGAGACTAGGGTCAAGAGTTAGAAAAGACCACTGCAAGGAAAGGGGTGAGAATAGTTCAGCTTCAAATTTTCTAAAACACGCCCCTGCTGTTGTGGCTCTGAGTCTGTGGGAAGTATGTGAGAGGGAAACTTTTCCTGATCCAGCAGGTAACAGCTTGATAGCAGAACTTTTGGGTTCCTTGCAGAAAGAACTCCCAACACCACTGACAGGCTGGTGGCTGCTGCCTCTCCTCCTCCTTGACATAGGATTATTGATCTCTCAATCCCCTGGAAGTTAAAGCTTGAACTTTTAAAAAACCATTATCCTTGAAGACTCCATATGTGATTACCGCAATTTGGAAATAGATTGATGGATCCACCCAAGATTTTATTTATTTATTTAATTAGTTTCTTTCATGTGGGGCATTGACATGGGATTATCAGTCTCCCAGGAGATCAATAGACCTGTTCCCCCACCCTTCACCAAATCCAGATGAATGTTCAGTAGGGCATAGAATATAATGGTATGATGTGGGGGAGAGATTTAACCCACTTCCCAACCATATCCTACAACACCATTCAGGGAGCAATTGGTGGTTATTTTTCTTGCATGCAAGGGACTGGGTAAGAGAGGAAAGGAAATCAGGGCATTCACCAACTGTTGTCCTGAAGCTCTGCTTGTTACATCAGTAAGGACAGCACGACTCCCTGGCCTCCTTACTGAGCAACTAAAGATTGGCCATGGAAGCAGTGCAAATTAGGTTGACCTACTTTTCTGCCACCTCAAAGATGGGAGGAATGCATGTGCCTGTGGGGAAGTGCCCACACATTCTTCATCTTTTTCTAATATTTCACTGGACCCATATATGCTTTAGCCCTTTAATCCATAATTAAACCTGTATCTTCATTTCTTGGTATATATTTATCAACTCTACTCTACAAATCAGAGCACTTTTGGATTTATTACACCCTTTTCTTTTAGTTTCACAAACATTCAACATATCCATTTTTTTCTCCGTCATTTCATTTGTTAATTCATGCTGTTTATTTACTTCTTTTTACATTAGTAGTCACAATCTTCTGTACACAATAGTCATCACTGGATGGATTCATAGATATTGTTCTCTGCCATCTATCATGGTTTTGGTTAACCAAGGTTTTATGTAACATTTTTTAGTAAGAGAAGGGTAGAGTAAATCAGATCTGTAATCTAGAGATTACTTTGCAAACCAACATGGTGATGCTTATCTTACCAACTATGAGGAACATGCAGTACAGAGTACTCTGCATTGCTCAATATATGCAACTGAAATCACAATATATCAGAAACATACAATTCCAGAACCTGGTACTTGCTACTAACCTGGCCCTAGTCGCCTTTAGTACCAAATTTCAGGTCACATGTAGCAAATGCAGATTCTCTTTCTGCAAACTCTTAAAATAGATTGAGTGTTGGAAATGCTAGCCAAAGCCAATTAGTCCACATTAAAGGACAAGATCTGAAGCAAAGACAAGCACATTAAAGGACAAGATCTGAAGCAAAGAACCTTTGGCATGCAAGAATCACCCTTATGATTCAAACCTTGCACAAGTCTATCCCCAGCTGATTTGAGTGCACATGTCCAAGGATGCTGCCACATGAGCGTCCTGAAGAACATGGCTGTTTTAATGCTTTAAGGACCAGGGCTTCACTCATGTTAAACTTTCAAATGCTTTGCACAGCCCTACAGCAAAGGATCCATAGGCAGGAAGGTTTGTATTCATTCCCTAAACAGGGCTTCTGACCTCCCAGGTTGGTTTAAAATTAATCTGAAAAAATAAATCTAAAATCTCATGAGATTTCAGTCCTCTTGCATAAATTTATCAGATCTTGTGTGAAAATGCAATCTCATTTGGAAATAACAATGTGAGAATGCCATTCACAAGCCTTTGGTATTCTACAAATTTTTGCAAGATTCCATGTGAGATGATGTGTGATTACTTAATTCTCAGGAGATCTGGTGGTTTTGCAAGATCTCAGGTAAGGTTTATTGGGCCAGCCAGGTCATTCTGTGAAATCATGCAATGAATCTGGTGCCAAAATAAAATGATGACCCCCTAGAATAGGGCTTTATATACAGAAATGCATTTAGGGAGTTTGCTTGGCACCCTTGCTTCTCATAATTTATGATCCATGAAGTATTCTGACAATAATTCTATATTCTCCCGGAGCTATAAGCTATACTGGGTCATATGTGAAGACTTTTCTTTTAAATGCAACAAACCTCTTGAAAAACCGCAAAATGCAAAAGGGAAAAAAACAACACTTTTTTTTTTAGTTCCTCCCACTCAGGACGGATCACAGATAGGATACTATAGGCCATTTTTTTTTTTTTACTCCTGTCTTAGTTCATACCAGGAGAAGTGTTTTCTAATTATCTGTCTGTGGGCTTAGCATCTCTACATGTGAATTTCTGATGATAATATTTTCTCTCTTGCTTGGAATGTAAAATGACACTCTGTTGCAGGCCAAAGGGAAAAAAAAGAAAAAAGAAAAAATAGGCAGTGCACTTTGAAAAATGTCTAGGGGAATAAAATAAATTGCAGGTCAATAACCATAGTATCTTTCCTGGTCAATTGCACGCAGATAAACACGCAATCACCATCAGATTGACTATATCAATTTTTATTAAAACAGACATACACATAGGAGTTAATTTTTAAAAATTAGTTGACTTGATAGAATAGGTTAATCTAAATTAATGGTTTAAACATGAGTTATTGATACTTACTGTAAAAAATTACAAGGTTATTTCCTTCATTTAAAAAACAAAACTTGTTAATTCTTCAATCGTATAATTCACAGCATTCTGTTACATAGCTATATATAGAGAGATTTTGTTGTTGTTGTTCAAAGAAAACACAGGTATAAAAAACAGAATGGAATATAGCATGTTAAAAAAGTAAAACGATTAGAGATGAGTGTCTGCTATAGGTATTCTTCTAAGTTCAACAATTTGGGAATTAACTATTGTGCTTCCATCGTGGCTGCCATGACAGGACTCAGTGTCACTGATGTTGAGGCCAGCACCTGAAACACAGAAAGGAAGGCAGAATTTGGGAGATCTGAAAACAAAACCATATCTTCCGGAGAATATGCCTGTCCGATGATGATGATGATATCAACTTCCCTGTTCTTAGTGCAGTTTTAATAGTTCTAGATGGATTTAGGGACCCAGAGAATTCAAAATGCAGAGGTTCAGTCATACCAAAAGTTATGCTGCTAGCATGTAAAATGTCTTTAGCTAACTCTTGTTGAGATTAATACAGAAGATTCCTCCAGTTTAAAACATCTTAGGCCACGGTAAATTGCTTCTAGTCCACATCTGAATTCTCTTTCTTTCTTAACTATCATTTCCTTCACTGAATTTTTAATCCATAAACTGCAGTTATAAATATCACAGTAAGTGCTGTGATTTTGCATATTTAATTCTGCTACTGCAATATTGCCTTCATAATATTTTAAGACTTGAGCTGACTATGTTAGGGCTACCTGATCTGGGTTGCAAAACTCCATAAGTCTATTAGATGGCAGTAAAGAGATAGAATTTAAAAAAAAATTTTTTTACTGGTCATCCAGATTTTTATAGTCTAGCTTGAGGCTTAATTTATATGAATGTACTCTCTCTCTTTCTTTTTCATACACATTCACACATACTGCATTCTATTTCTTCATGTAATCCCTAAGCTTCATGTCCCTTAAGAGTCCTTTTTGATACACTTTCGTGAAACAATGTGTCTTTAAAAGAATATACAATATTGAATATGCATGTATGCATATATTATTCCATACTGCAAGGTATGGAAAGAAACTAAGCATGACAGATGCTCCTTTGAGTTCTTCCTGTGCACCTCTCCAGTTGCTAGTGGAGTTCCTCGCTTGCAAAGGTAGCATCTGCGTGTTGAGGGACAGGACCTCAATGCATCAATGGCGATCTCAGATTATAGTTACGCCACTTTAGAAAGCTTGGCCTAGGCCTGTACTAGTTGGCAGATGCCCTGAACCAACATTACATCAAGATGAGTATGGTTGTCAGTGTAATGCCTCCATATTTTCTCCACAGAGATATAGTTCTCCTGGCCTACCATTTTATGATGATGGAATAAACATTTTTAGCACAGTCTGAATTCTTCATGAACAAAGAAAGGTGGAAAAGCTTCTCCTCCCCACCCCCATGTTACCTCTTCTGCAAGTGGCACCAACTGATTGTTATTGCCTGAGTGAACATACTGTGTTTTTGGTCTCAGGACAAGTAAATAAAATATTAAAAAACTGCCCAACCCCTATTTAGATATTTCAAGACTTGCAAATCCTATTTATGCAGAAGTGCAAAAGTGCATGCAAGCATAATTAAACATGGTAATGTCAAAAGAGATTAATTCCAGACATTACTTGCCAGTAAAACCAGTTACAAATGAGCAAGGGCTGCAGAGATTCAATGGACTGGGCAAAATTATTTCTGCTGCCAGTGCATAGGCTTCAAAGGAGCTGTACCAGCAATAAATCTGGCTCATTGCATTTGGAATATGCTGCTTGCAGGAAACCAAATGCTACCACTTTCTCAACTAGCAATTCATAAAACACAAATCAGACAGAAAATATGGCATATTAGATTGCATTGTTACACATGTCCAGGATTATTTGTCTAATTTTAATTCTAAGATATAGGAGATGATGACATGACTAAATTACAATATTCTCCATGCTATCAAATGACTGAAAGGTGTTTCACAAGGAGGGTTCCTACTGCTATCATTAGGCAAGCATTGGGCCTTTTTTCAATCTTTTCCTGCTTCACAGTTGTTAAGTGAGAAGGAAAAAAGGAGAATTAGAGGTTGAAGACACAGGAAGATAAAATGAAAGATGATGATGAAATCTGGGTCCATTATAAAAATCCGTGAGTCAGAGAAGTTGATCAGGAAATGTCCTAAATGTAGTCTGAGGGTAGAGAACAGAAGTACTGAAGCAGTGAATTAACTTCTAATTTCTGAAGTCAAGTATCACTGCACATAAACCATTCCTAGAGTGTGGGTCCCTTCTGTTCCTTAACAAAATGACCGATGATGGCATGTTTCTCATAGAATCCTGGGGAAATGAGTCAGTATAGAAAACAGAAAAGGAAAAAGCAAAGCTGCTATAGGTTTCAAACGAGAGATATTTCTATAAACTTACAATGAATTTCCAAACTTTTTCAGTGTAGTAAAAAATTGTCAGTGCTGGCAGGGATGATAAATTGAAGCCCAATTCCTCTGGATGGCATTAGACAGAGGAAAACTAACATGAATCAGTTTATGAATTTATGAAAAAATCCTGCTTGAGGATTATGACAAAATGTTCCTTCATGTGCAGGCTATTTCAGAATTGTCCAATATGGAATTTCCAGAACTGACAGCTCACTGTCACCATTAAAAAAACAACTCACAAAGTCAAATGGATTGATCTGCCATTTCCCATTTTATACAGGTGGGCCTTTGTTGTGTTGCTGAAGATTTAAACAAATAACCTATTAAGCTTTTCTAAGACCAAAATTATAACATGACTATAATTCATTTTTCAGGCCATGAATGAATTCTTAAGGATTTGATAATCTTTTGGAATAAAAATAGGTTATAAAGTCCTCTATGGAAGAACAACTTAAAACTGTGCACAGACCATCTAGAAGTGTTTATCATAAGGCAGTGCAGCGTTCTTAGGGGCAGCATGTCCTCAAATTAAAGCAATGAGGCCCTGTAAGACTATGTAATGACTTCACACTGGGACTGTGATTTCTGAGAAAATATTGCTTGTACATTTCCAATACTAATGCTACAGTTTGTCTTTCAAGCTCTCTTGCTAAGAACAGTAGCCTAGCTCCTTTATCAGCTTAGCCCAACTTGCAGTCAAAAAAGAAAACTTTGAGATATGAGTTTGACATTGTTTTCCATTCTGAACAGGAATTAAAAAACTAAAGTATGTTTATGATCTTCTGTGCTTGCAAAATCAGTGCGCTGATATCTACTATTGCAAAGGGTAAATGAATATTAAATCTCATCTTGCAATTTCAATGCCTTTTTTATATGTTTAAAAACCTGCATTATATTATTGGTAGTTTCTCACCTATTTTATATTTACACACATCCAACAAGATTTTTTTATAGCAACATAAACAATTAATTCTTATTTTCATATTGGAAGCTCAAGCAGAATTGAGCATTTTTTCTTTTATACAGTATTTCCTTCTAGCAGTAGATAATTTTATTTATTTATTTATTTATTTATTTTGGTCTAACAAGGGCATGAAACAAGGAGACTCTAGCTCAGATGTGAAGGTTTCATGAACAAACAAGGGCCAAGCTGAATTTACCTAAGAACTAATTCCAGTGACACCAAATACAGATTATGGCTCAAAGGTCTCCCAGCTGTCTGTTTGCCTAAGAAACTCACAGTACCTGTAAAGCAAGTTTAGGATGTATTAAGGCAGCTAGTCTAGTCTTTCTGCCTATGTGACATGAAGCAGCTAGAACTATTTCTTCAGGGCACTCATAGTTTGACCGTACTTTAATTAGTATTTTTTTTTTAAGTTATATACCTTGGCACTTGTCCTTTTCACACAGTAAAGGACAAATATGGGCTTTTAAACATATAAAAAAGGCACTGAAATTGCAACATGAGGTTTAATATTCATTTACCCTTTGCAGTGGTAGATACCACTGCACTGATTTTGCAAGCCCAGAAGATCATAAACATACTTTAGATTTTTAATTCCTGTTCAGAATGGAAAACAACGTCAAACTCATATCTCAGAGTTTTCTTTTTATATACGTATTTGTCATTTTATGCTTTGCTAAGCAGTGTTACAATTGTGTCATTTGCTGCCATGTCTAGCTATGCAACTACTGATATTCCAAACAAATAAGACTGAGAAGTTGTTGTACTGCTGACTGACCCACACGGAAACATAATCGGGCTTGCACTCTGCTATGTGTAACTAGGGATGTATATATATTAGAAATACAAGTGCTCTTTTGAGGCCAGTCATCATACTCATATTTGTAACCTTTAAACTTGGCCCTTTGAACAACGACAGCTATAAGGTTGGCAAATGATGTACCCTCCAAATGTAGTAGTGGAGATGATGGTTGACTGTGAACTGAAGTGCAAAACATCTGATGGATGGCATGCTGTCTTGCCACTGTCCTAGAAGATCTGCAGAAATCCATACATTTCACCTTTTCATTTTCTGCATATTCAAGAAATCCCAATAGCCCTTTCTCTGACATACTTACACATTCTGTGATTTTTTCATGATTTTATCCACCTTTTCTTTTTGTAGTTTCCTGATCACATAGAATTAATTTTAACCTAGTTCTTGGACGATAGTTAATCTTCTTCTTCTTATATCTATGGGGAGCCTAACTCAGCAGGGTGGCAGAATTGCACAGTCCATGACCTTATTTCTGATTCATATACAATTGCTTCCATATAAATGCAAACCCATTTGGATCCATATAAATTGGATATATGGTAGCATTTCTACATCTGAAATGGTAGCCTGTGATTTATATAAGAATAGTATTTCCTTCTTCATCCTAAATTTTAAACACTTAAGAAAACACACTTACTTTCCAGATATAGGCTAATTGCCTTTTTCATTCAATTTGCCTTTTTGTCCTTTAAGTAAAATGCATATTAAGTATAGCACAAGGCAACTTTTTTACTTTGATTTGAACAGCTAGCCAGAATCCATTTGCAAAAATCATATCTGATTATTTAGAAAGGAAGATATATTGTACTTACCGGTTTTTAAAGCAAATATTAAATCATCAAACTCTTGTGATTCTTCATCTGCCACCAAAGAGCTGTTCCTGAATCCTCCAGCAGCTATGTAGGCACTGCCATTCTGTGGGCTTTGCGTAAAGACAGCCCTGGCCTGGCTGCCTGTTCTCAGGGATGCTCTCTCCCAGTCTGCTGGCATCTTTAAAAAACAAAACAAAACATTAAGAAGTGTATAGTTTTTACAAAGGGTGCCACAAAAACCACTCTATATTGTCTTCCCAGTGATGTTATTGGTTCTTTAGGCTAGAGGATCCCACAAACAGCAAATGATACGATCCTCATTATTTAGCTAGTTATTTCGGCAAGTCAGAAAAATATTATCTTGGTGAGATGCAATGGGTTCACCCCTACATAGCAATGTGCATGTAGTCAAAAGAACTAGAGCAACAGCTGTTTCCTTAGTATTATGGCATTTCCCAATGCCACAATAGCAGTGATGGCCAAAAGATTTTGCCACCTGGGATAAAGCAGCAAATGGCCTCCTCCCTGTCAAGGTGCTTTTTATCCCAGTTAGTCAAATTATGCTGGGTCCTGAATTACACAGTTTCACAATGCACTTCTTTCCCTAGCTGTAAAAACACTTCGATATTGTGAAAGAAGAAATTGTGGACTTTTCATGATATTCTACCTAATGGCTAGGCCAGGCCCACAAATTAAGTTAGACTAAGGTATGATGATATTGCCAAAAATACCGCTGTACAAGGAAGGCTGCTTCTCTAGGACTATCCACCAATTCCTTTAGGGATCCACAGATTGTTCTTGGTAAAATAATAATGTAGAAGTATGTACAAGATGAAAGTTACTTTCTTTGTGAAATAGTAACTGGCAGACCTACACACACAGATGGAATGGAATGGAAGAGATGGAATGCATAACTGATATCAAACAGGCCTAGGATTTATGTATCTTACTGTGGGCTCTGTAATACCATAGAGATGTCCAAAGAGAAGGAGACAGAGTGGTCAACAGTGCAGCAGTAGCAACTTCAAGGCTGCCTTATGGTCTGAAACCCTTTGGATATGGGAAGACTAGCCCTGTTTCAGCCAACACTGATTGCCTACTGAGGTGATGGTCAAAGACCCTCCTGCATTTCTGAACACCTCCGGAATGACAATTAGTGTGGAGCTGAAAAGGACCCTTTGCTGTGACAATAAGCTTGTGCTGGCACTCCTGCCTAAGGAAGACTTGTGCCATCCTCTCTTCAGTGGCTTTCAGAGGATGGGCAAACCCTGCTTTCTGCTGTAATTGACTGCTTACTTCAGAAGGAGTGGTTGGTTATAGAATTATTTTTAAATGATTTTGAGTAGCTATATTGTTCTCTGCTACTGTATTATTTCATTGGAGAATTTAGTGGGTTTGTTATTTAAAATATAGATTAAATATGTTCTGGTTAACTTTTGATGTTATGTGAGAGAAAAGGAGCTTGTTTGAGGAAAAACAAAGAACACATGTTTAGCTGGGCAAAACTGGGGCACAAATGTTTAAATAGTCAATAAACACAACTTTTGCCAAACATGGTTTATGATTAACATCCACTTATATTGTATACTGATTTACTGGTATTGTGACAAGTGCTGCTACTACAAGTACAGAATAAATGTTGTACAACAACTAGGCATGGGACATAGTCATCCCAAATTCAAATCTCCGCTGAACTATAAAGTCCATAAAGAATGAAGCTAACCAATGTATTTGATTGAAACCTGTGCTAAAGGTAGTAAAACAAAATTCATTAAGAAACAGTACTCAGCCCTTGCAACATACACATACACTAATATGGTATCCTAATTCAATTCTCAATCTCCTCTAGCTGGGCATTTTTTTCTACCTGTTTTCATTCAATGTGATGAAAGAGTCTTTGCTTTTAGAAGTTCTTTCAAGAGAGAAGAGAAGAGAAATTCTTTTGGGTGGAAGGTGATATCCTTGCACTTCTTTAATTATGAGGTGGCCAATGCATAAGAGAACGTTCTGTCTCTTATGATGCAATCATCTTTCTGGCTTCCAAGACTTCAATTAAATTCAAGGAAGGTTGTCATTAGGGAACTCCTTTAATTTTTTTTTTTTTTTTTAGTAGTCATCAGGAAGGAACAGCCTGCCCATGGAAAAATTGTTGGATAATTTTTCTTTTTCTGAAGACAGCAGAGAAATTTCCTATCCCAAGCTTCTCTGCCAACAAATTTAGTGGATAATTTTTGAAAGCCCATTTGCGCCCAGCTGCAAAAAAAGTATCAAGAGACTCCAATTACTGGTGTCTTGGAGTTTGGCCTCAATTAGTTCCAGCAATTTAAATGTTGGTTAAGATGATAAGCATGATGAGCTAGGGCAATGTACAAATACCATATGTATAATATTTTATAGAGCACTTGCCATTAGGATGTGCTGTAAGATCCAGCTTTCCACCATCGGGAGCATATTCTCTCCCCTATGGCTGACTAGGCTAGATCGTTTTCTGTACTTTTAAATTTTTTTAATTTGGCAATTGTAATATGGCATAACTGGGTTGCATCTGAAAATGGAATGGAGATATCAACACTTCTGAAATAGAGCAGAGTTGCTGAAAATAATATGCATATACTATTGATGCTTTTGACATGTATAGTTTACAGGTCTATTTTCTAGACATATCCAATGGCCTGTTTATATGAAACCTGAAATGGCCTGGAGACAGAAGGTAGCACCTTCTTTGTTTTGCTCACTTTCCTGACCTGCGAATTAAGATCAAACAGAAAGTAATTGTTCAAGTTGGTATGACAGTCAGCATGGATTTCGGCCAAAGTAACGATGGCACCACTATAATAGAGCTCCCAAGAGAACCCAACAGCACTCTTCCAATGGAATTGTTTTGCTGGCTAATAAAGGAGACAGAGAAGCTGCTGTTTTAGCTTGCCTTGTCATTTGGTTTTCTTTCTTGTGCAGCTGTTAATGTTGATATTATAAGCTTACTGAGATATAAACCCCGCTGACTACAAAGAGGGCCATTCCACCAAGCAACTGAGTATATAATTGTAATCTAAACTGAAAACTTTGGGGTAAGATTATTTTGGAGTAAGACCCACTGGATCCAGTGAGATTTCTTAGGAATACAAATATTCATTAATTGTAATGAGCCATTTATTATTTACAATTGTGCTTTACTAAGCATTTGTTGTTACTATACCTAATTTGAGTACCCTTTTTGATGAGAAACATTAATTGATTTAGCAAGCGAAGAGATTCTAGCCTACCCTCATCCACAGAATCTCACTGGGTGACTTTGGGCTAGCTACTTTCTCCCTGGTAATTTACCTCACAGGGTTCTGGTTGTGAGAAAAAATAGGTGGGAATGCTGTGTGTGCCTCTCCGGAGCTCCCGACTGAAATGTAATATAGAAAGCTTATCAACGAATAAAATCAATGGATCATGTAGGAACATACCTGCATTTCAGAGTTGTTAGTATATTTATTTGTAAAAGTAAAGTAATAAAGTTACCTCTTCCATAGCGGCAATAAGATTTTGAGTAGATTTGCTGATCTCTTCCCCTGCCAGGGGCATGCCACTCCCAGGAGTGAAAAATGCAGAACCAGAGCTAGTATTTCCATTCATTTCAACTGTATAGCTTGCTTTTACAGGGCAGCAGAGCTGATTATGTAAAATGAAATATACCACAAAGACATAAAGTCCCTAAAAGATAGAAGAGGGAGAGAGGAAAATTCAGGCATCTATGTATGAAATGAATGTATGTTTGAACACGTTTAAGAAAACTATATAAGCAGAATATGAAGATGCAGAGCAAGAGATTTTTCCCATAATCCCAACCGATGACTGCCCATATGATTATAATGTAAATTAAACACAAGAGAAGATATCAGAATAAATTACTGCCTTGGAAAATAACCTCTATGAGCATGATGAGATAGTTTAAGATTATGTGTTTCTTTTTAAACCCACCTATTGCTGAAACAAAGCAAAAGTAGAACAATGGTTCAGCTCCAATGTAACAGCAAGGAAATAGGTAATGGCTGGTACAAAGCCAAGCCAACAATGATTTATTGTCAGATAAATACCTCAAGCATTTTTACTGACCTGTTAGTTTCAAGCCACAATTTCAACATCACGAAAACACTGGTTAGGGTTTAAATGGCATGTTTTAGCTTCAAATGAACTCTGACTATCTTAAAACTGTTTTGCCTTTACGTTTACAGTATTACTGATTTTAAAATATTTCTATACCATCTTCACAGCAAAATGCTCCCTAAACAGTTTACAGCATAAGTTCACAATATAACAAAAACACACCAGAAAATATGATATATGCATTTAAAATTTTGCTTGTGCAGTTTACACCATGCCATGCTTTTTAACACTCAGCATTTGCATTCACATAGTTGTCATGAAGTTAATTTTGCCATCGTGCTGAGCCTCTGGATTCTAGATCCTTTCATTCAATTTCTTCCTGATCGTCTTTCTGAAGTAGAAAGCTGTTAAGGTGGGTCTTTTCCCAGCAGCATAGCATAGCAATTTCTACACACAACTCTCTCAGATAGGCGAAACATGCCTTTACCAACACCGATTCCCCTTCAATATCACTGCAAATCCACAATCATATTTGGCATTTGTTCTTCATACTTGGGATTTAAACAACTGACAATATTTTTGAAGCAGTTTTACTCTCCCTGAACCTACAGTAGTGGGCTGAAATCAGTAGGGGCATGGAAGTGGACATAAATCTGGAGTATCTTGCTGCATAGTAAGGGCTACTGGTTGTGTGATCCATTTTGCTTCTTAGTTAAAGAGGTGCATGAAAATTAACATAGAACAACAGGAAGATATTCATTGAGAAGCATGTTTAAAATGTACATTTCAAACAGCACCAACATTAGCAGAATCATGATCATATTATGGAAAGGTGGGTGAAACACACTGGAGAGCTGGGACAGGAAGACACCATTTCAAATTCAACAGAGAAGTCTTGCACTATTCCTGATTAGGGGTGATCTCTGGCGTTGCACAATAACTCCACTATTCTTGGAGGGCTTTTCCATCCCTCCAGATGTTAGGACTTAATTTAAATTTAGGATTTAAGCCACTGGATATTTTATAAAGAACAGTCACAGCTGCCAGGTTTTAAGTTAATGTGCACCCATCTCTTTGTCAGTTTATATTTAGGAGGGTTTTTTTTTTTTTTCC